GAAAATTAAGCCTCGTTTAAATACTGGCTCCCTTTCATGGTCGAATGAATGTTGCCAGCTAAAACACGTAAAAATAATATTAAAGTAGCCAAGACGTAGCCAAATATTGTAGCGCCACATCACTAGCAGACATTTGAAAATTGCCGACTAGGGAAGTCGGTTAACCGAGGTGTCGGTTAATCGGGGGTCGGATAATCGAGGCTCTACTGTATCTCTGAACTGCCCACATAAATGATGGATTTAAAGCAAATGTCAAAAGATTTTTTTTTCTAAAATATAGTAGAGCGTCGATTATCCGAAAGTCAATCATCCGAAAGAATTCCAGTCGGCAAATTTAAATTTTCGCCAGTGCTATGGCGCTGCAATCTTTGGCTATGTATTGGGCTACTCAAATATTTTATGTTTTTGATACTAAATTAACTTCTGAAGTATACTTTTTTATTGTTTTTATATTTTTCAATATATTTATTTTGTTCGTACAAAATAAAAAAATAATTTTAAACGATACAATAGTCTTCCTTAGGCTTAACATCGACGAAAATTCAACGCNATACCTCGACTTACGTCGTTTCGAGTTACGTCATTCCCGATTATACGTCGTTTGTCAAAAAAGTATATGGAAAAATAAAAATCAAGTTTAAGTCATTTTATTCGACTTTACGTCTGTCCGCCACAAATATTGAAGTCGTAATATCACTAGACAAGCGTTTAAAGCACATAAAATTATATTATAATATATACATATACAAGTATGTACTGTGTTTACAGTACATGCATTCGTAAATTTATATTACTTTTTTTGTACTATATTAAAAACTACAATTTAATAAAATTGTTTGTAAGCTTAATAAATAAAATACAGAACCGGGAATGGTAATTTATGATTTAGCCTAGTGACAAGTAGATTCGGAGACAAGTAAATTCGACTTACGTCGCTTTCCTGGAACCAATTACCGACGTAAGGCGAGGTATACCTGTAGTGTGCTTATTAGACAAAATTGTAAGACATCAGAACATTTGTTTTGTTTGTTGGGTTAGTCTGCATGTCAATTTTTATTTTATCTTGGGCAGAGCTGGGAAAATGCCTAGAGTTGACATCGGATTTTTTTTTGTTTGTGTGCATTATTTTATCATCACTTGTTAATAAATTGTTTTACTTAAGTGCCGTCTTGACTGTATTATAACACTTTTGTGGTTAATTGACACAATCGCACTTTCCATGTAAGTACATCTGAAATTTGTTTCAAAAAATTATTGATGCTGTGACAATTAAAAACAGTAACATTTTCATTTTATATTTAATCTTTGCATTTATCAGTAGTTTTTATAGAATTTGTTGTACAAAAGTAAATTGAAATGAATAAAATGTATCTAATTTTTTGACTGAATCATATCTGTCAAATTATATTGTTACAAATTTTGTTGAGTGAAAGAATATCTGATGTAAATAAACTCAAAATAGATTAATAGTAGTTAGAAAACAATCATTAATTTTAAAAATTTATATACTTAAATTTGAGTACAGTAATACTTCGACTTATGCGAACCTGGAGTTAAGCGATTTTCAAATCTCGTCGATTCATCTTTTGTTTGAGTACCATGGAACTCTTTATTACTCACTCTCCCCCACTATTGTTCATCTTACATGTTCGGACATGTTGTGCAGAATCGACACATAGCTACAATTTATTTTGTGTTATTTATTTCTGTGTTCGTTATATCTACGGAGACTTGAGAGACTCTATGTGGTGGTGATTTCTTGTAACCATGAACAAATCAAAAGACGAGATAAGATTAACGAGAACATTTATTATCTTACATACATCCGACTTGGATTTTACATAAATTGCAAAATTATCAAAATTATACCCCGACTTATGCGAATTCGACGTGCGCGGTTATCGCTCGGTCCCACCTATTGCGTAAGTTCAGGGTATCGCTGTAAAATCCTAAAAGATCTCTTTTTTATTATTATTGTTGATATATTTTATGTTTAAATAAAATATTATTACTTAATATTATTTATAAAATATGTTTGAATAATTAATAAATTACAAGTTGAATCTAATAAATTTAAAAAATTGAATTAAATTTTTTTAAGATTTTGTATTTTTTATTTTAATTAGACTTGGAGTATCACTTATCATAGTTGGCTGACTTTTGTTCTGCTTCTCTGGTCATGTACTTTATGGATGATTCCTAATTCACGCCGAGCATGTTTATATTCCTCGCCCGCTCTAGTAATATATGCAGAATTACTACTCATACTTCAATACATTTATAGTTTTGATTTGACTGAAAAAGAACTTCCATCAAAAGTAGAAGGTGTAAATCTAGCTCAGATTGGATTAGTAAAATATCATGCTTTATCATATCAACCTCTAGCCATTAAGGTAAGATATAATAAGAATTTGAATTGCAGTATGCAAAGAAACATTGTCAAGTAATGATTTTGTAGACACTTTTTCTTATATTATTATTTATTACAAATCAAAAATTATTTCAATAATTATGAGACAAGTTTTGTTTAACTAATAAACAAAAAGTACTAAATATTTACTACAATGAAAAATTCTATTAATAAATAAATAAATTTTTTTTTAAATTATTGGCATTTACAACACAAAATTTAATAATAAATTAATTGCAGTGTCAGTTACAATTAATTTTTAATGAAATTGTTTTTATATAATTTATATCTGTTCTTTGATGAAGCAAAAATGTTTTGAAATCAAATAAGCAAATACTGTATTTAAAAGAAAAAAATTTATTATTATTTATTGAAGAAGAAATAAAATTATTACTTTAAAAACTTAAAAATAAAAATATTCTATATGGAAATGAAGAAAATAATTGGTTAATTTAAAAAAATTTTTTTTAAACATAAATACATTTCAGNTTTTATTTATATCCGTTATCGTAATTTGATAGATGATAAGAGACATGCATACATATCTGCATACGTGTATCATACATCTCTAATTTTGTTTAATTCAATTGAAACTGGTAGATTCAGTTCGTGGCCAAGAATAAATTGGGAGATACAAGACATGTTGAAAAAATTGTGACTGACATTTTTCTCTTTTCCAACCAGTATTAGGTTTATTAGCTACAATCCAAATGTAAAAGAGTAACAGTAGCTTAAGTTTACGTGATGAAAGTATAGGCTACTATATATGGATAATGCCACCTAAGCTGGGGATGCTTACAGGCCTATGGGGATGCTTACAGGCCTAGCTTCTTCCTTATACAATAGTTTCCTCGTGGTTCTGCATAGATTTATGCCATACTAAAATTCCTTATAATTTTTTAAATCACAAGCAGAATAGTTTAAATATTCAAACTGTTTGATAATTGAAGAATGTAAATAATTTATTTTATCGTAAATTATCTTGCAACATGCAAAAACTGGTCTTTTCAGAAAAGTGATAAAATATCAATAAACTGGAATATAGGCCTATTTTACCTGTCGAATAACATTTAAAAATTTAATTTTTAAACTATAAAATAAGTAAATTTAACATTTTATAATTCAAATTTGTTTATTACTGTACTTTATTTTTAAATCATACTAAAAAAAATTATAGTACAATACTTATAAAAAATTTCCTATTGAGCGAGAAATTTCGTTAAAACTTATAGGATTTTGCCTTATTTTTTGTGTAATCGAAGCTGATGTACAGTACTGTACATTTGTGGAGATGCATCCTTGGCATTCAGAATACATAACAGAAACTTCAAAATAAAGCAGAAGATTTGTGAATATATTCGCATATTTTTTTATTCTTCATACTTATTAGTAAATATAAAATTGAATCATACACGAATCTGCAGTTTTTATTATCAAAAATAATTTCAAATTGTTCGCTGTTGAAAGTCACGCATCCAAAGAGCCATGGCTGGATTAGCGAATATACTAAATAAACACGTGCTTAAGGCTCAAGACAGAAATTTTTCATTGCCCGATTTACCATGAATTGTATAAACCAGGGTCCATAAAAAGGGGCCTCACAATAAATAAAAAAATTAGTGTTTTCAGACATCATCATTTATTATTGTTTATTATATTTTGAATTACATATACAGTATATGGGAATATCAAAATCTTTTAAGTGTTTAGGGCCTCTAAAAATCTTAATCGGGCCCTCCTTAAAGTAGCTATAAAAAAAAAAAATACAAGAAAATACCTTAACCGATTATATACAGTACTGTATAATACAACACACAACTTATGTCTGATTTATTCAATATTATAATATAAAATTTTAAATTAATTAAAGAAAATAACACTGTAATACGTCATCGATATACACGCCTAGAAGAAACAAAGGATATACAGGAACTATTATGTCAGTGACGTCACACTTCAACGCTTGAACAGCTGAGATGTAGATCTCGCGATCTGCAACGCATGTACTGACCTCACGAGATCAAGGATGGATAATGGCGACGAGACGCTCGGTCTTGAACAGTACGAAAGAAATCGGCGCTAATATTACAGATATTGGACGCGAACTGTTCGATGCTTGCAGGAACGGAGACGTGGGACGTGTCAAGAAACTTGTCACCGTACATAACGTCAATTCGAGAGATGCCACTGGACGAAAATCCACTCCTTTACACTTCGCCGCAGGTAGGCCTAAATATGGCGACTGAGTTCGAATCCTTTAAACTTTCTCTTTTTGTTTTTAATCAATTGCGACAACCACGACAAGCTAGGGAGAGTTTTAAAACACGTTTTTAACGAAATCGTGTGACGTACGACAATGAAATGTAAACGACAATCCTTTCTATTCGTGTAAAGATTGTCAAATTTTTAAGACTTTTGTCAATGGTAAACTTCCGGTCACGTGATTCCGTCTTTCCGTAAACATCAATTGTATAGGACTAATTTAGTGCGATTCACATTTAAAATCGACGTATTTCTGATAGAAATATTTAATCGATTTTAGAATTATGAGATTATTATTTTTTAAAAACAACATTGAAAATAAATATTTCTGATATTATCTGTATTTTTATAATATATTTTATACGTAAAAATACACACTAGATACAGGAATTTAATGTTTTAGTTTCTATTATTGAAAAATTATATAGCCTATGATGTGCTTGGATAATTGCTTAAAAAAAAAAAACACAATTTAAAAACAACATTTAACCGACATGCTAAGTTTAATTGTATGTGCTTTACTTCTATGCAATATACAAGAGATTTTGCCTATTTGAATGCATAAAATCAATTTACTCAAATTAAAATATCTTGCGTATAGTTTTAGACATTTTTAAATTATATCCTTTATCTTTTTAATAAATAGTATATAAATCTACTGAGAAATGCAATGCTTAATATAAACACTCCAAAATACCTTAAAAATTGCATTAAATGCTTTAATTTCTAATGTTTTCGGTTGTATTTAGCCAAACTTCGAGATAAACTTAAAAATGAATGACGGTTGCATTTGTTTTTTCATAATAAATAAATCTTTTTAATTTATTCCTGAATTTAAATTATATTAAAATTCTGTGCTGGGATTACTTTAAGGCTTTTGTAGTGTTTTGTTTGTTGTTTATTCATTCAGTTTTGAGGATAGATCTTTTAAATTTAAAATCTACCGTAAACTAAGAATGTAACATGAAATAATTATAACTCTAATAATAAGTTTTAAGTATTAAATATTTTGTATAAATAATAATTTATTTATATTTATATTGATATTTCTAATGAAAGAACATTTTTCAAATATATAAATGATCAATAATAAACAGTAAGAATTTTATATTTAGATTAATATATGAATATTTTAATGAAAGAAATGAATTTTCCATATGTGATGATATAAATTTGATTGAATTAATATTCCCACGATAATTATTTTATTATACCTTATAAAATAACAGTACAATCAATTATTACAATATGATAATTAAAAACTTTATGCTAGTTATTTTCAATAGTAGGCCTAATTTGCAAATGGTAAATAAAGTTTTGTATTATTGAATTTGTTCTAAGAACTTACACTATGGATGAGTAATATAAATATGTATAACCAGTTATTGTCTTGTAAATAGTTTTTGTTTTTATTATACTCTTTTCATCTATTATATCACTTTTCTTTGAACAATATCTCAAACAAATTAATTAACAAACTTTTTTTCTTTTTAAATTTTCTAAGAAAGGGATAATTATTTAATNGGAAAACTACTAGTTTTCCATTCGTTTCTGACTTTTGGAGGCTTTTGGAGGTACAACATCAAGGAAAGATGTGTCTTTCCTTGATGTTGAGGTGTTTTCTGCTGTGTCTACGACGGAAAAAAATGTGTCATCTGAAATATCTTCTGCTGTTCCTATTGTACATTCTAGTCGTCAGAAACCCTACTGAAGAGGCCTTGACAGGCAAAATGCATTTGGGGTGAAGTATATTTATATAAAAATAAAAGTATTTTTCTGTGTTAACCTGTTTACCTTTTTTTACTTTTTTATACCAGTCTACAGACTCGGGATTTATTAAGCCTCCAAAAGTCAGAAACGAATGGAAAACTAGTAGTTTTCCGTGTACTAATGAATAGTACAATACGGTAAAAAATAGATTATCTGACTCNAATTATTAATTAGAAATTGATATTGAAAAAATAAATGGGCTATCCTTAGTATCCATGTAAATGAAATGCAGAATAACAAAATAGGATATTTACAAAATTAGAACATATTTATTATACATTGTAAATCCAATTTAATCATAGAATCAGTTTCTGAAGGTTATTCTGAAGATGCAAATACTATTTTGTTTATACATATAAAAACTTGTTTTTCTTATATTAATATATATAAACATCTCTAAGTTCAATAGTTATTTTAAAGCAAATGAATAGTATTTACTTATTAATGGTAATGGTAATATAGCTTGATTTAATTTCTTATATTTATTCTTTAAAAAATTACAATAAATAAAATATAAATAATTTTACAATTAAATATTTAGTAACATTTTTATCGAGTATTTTGAATGATTTATTATGCATGAATAGTGACTGTTACATAAAATATTCTACAGGGTGTTTGGAAAGTCACTGTACACTTTTCTAATCATATTTTTGCATTATTTCAAAAGATGTGTGGTCCTCACACTGAACAGATCTAAATCCACCAGTCTTTTATCTATGGGGAACAGCAAAATCTGCAGTGTATCGAGATTGTTCGCGCATGCTGGATGATTTGAAAGCAGTGATAACAACAGTCATTTGGTCTATTTCAAGCAAGCAACTGATGGTGGTGATTAGAAACAAAAGAAGGATCCAAGCCTGTATTGAAGCTAATGGGAATCATTTTAAACATTGTTTATAATTGTCATTCATATTTATTTCATGTATTCTATATTGAAACATGTTTGTTACAGTGACTTTCCAAACACCCTGTATAATTTGAGAAGATAAAGAACAATAACATTAGTTGATCAGGAAAATTGTAACCATTAAGATTAAAGTTTTGTGATCAAAGATGAAAGTAGTAAATAAGTATGAATAGAAAAGGAAAACAACTAATATTTACAGTATTAAAGTAAGCCATTTATGTAACACTTTAGAAGTAATTCATTGTACTCTGCACTTTACTGGAAAATTCATTCGGTTTCTTTGAAATACTATTTTAAATTTAAAAAAAACTACATATAAGTGCAAAATAAGAATTTGTATCATTATAAATTCTGTATTATGTACTTTTATTATATATATGCCTACATATCTAATTTTTTTCAAAAAATTTATTATTATTTTTTTCTATTTATTACAAAATTTATATATGTTTACATGTTTTTTAACAATTGATTATATACAATATTTACAATAGATGAATTTAAATAAAAATATGATATTTTGGGAGTTTAGTAGATTTTTTAAAATTTAAAGCACGTTATTAAGTACTAAAATAGCATGTGTGTATATAATTTTAAAAATTTTGATTAAAAAAATATTATATATTTAATATTGTTTTTAATTACATATATAAAATTTTTTTTATAAATTATATATATCTAGTGTTTATTTATGTTAATGCATTTTGTTATGCGAATGAATCCAAATGGAAAATCATCCATTTTGCAGAATAACAACAATCTACAAAGTCATCAGATTTGTAGTTAGTTACTCTGAGCATTGATGCAGATTTAGATAATCTGCAAATATTTAGCCATTTTATAGAAATATTTAAAAAAAATTAGCTTGAATTTCTTTTGAATATATATAAAATTATAATAGTCAATATTTCACATTTTTAGGTAATTGAATTTTTATTTATTGTATACAATAGTCAACATTCTTAAAAAATTCAACAAATGCAAAAAGCATTTTGCTAAAATGAATTATTGGCAATTTCCACCAATTTTGTGTTCATGCAGTTTTTGTTAATAACTGTAATGAAAGAGAAAATATTATAATACTATTAATATAACCCAGTGATTTTTTATTTTAAAATTATATTTTACGAAATTTCATTTTAATTGGAATTTTTTGATAAATATAAATAAAACATTGATCAGTTACAAAAAAAAAGTAAGAACATTTATATACCATTCTCACATGATTAAAATTCATTCTGAAATTATTTTATCAAATTTAAATAGTTTTATCATTTTATCTTATCTTGTAATATTGAATATTTTTTGATATTTAAACAAACAAAACATCAAAATGTGATATTCTGCTAATTGGTAGTCCTTACCTTGTGAGATTGTGCCCTTTTATCACAAAAAAGAAAAAGTGGTACTTTTATCATGTCTTGTTTTACATTTTTTCATATTTTTAAATTAAATATAATAGTTTTTTATTTGCTAAATGATTATTTTAATATTTATAGAAGTTTTTTTCACAGTAAAATTGAATTTTTCCTATTGTTTTTTTTTCAAAATAACAATTTTGACATGGAATATTAGAATTATATGTTTCTGGCATTAGAATTGGTGTTCATTATTGTAAATACCTTTATCTTCTGTATATATTATAGGTATCATTTTGTATACAATAGTAAAAATTAGCATCACATGATAATGAAAAATTATTCAAATTTTTTTTTTTATATAGGTCAATTTTATATATTATATGTTTAAAGATAAAAATTTCCAAGCAGTTGGTTATGTGTTTTTTTTTGTAATGACTGATGAATAAGTTAGAATATCTTACACATTTATATGTACAGTAGAACCTCGATTATCCGGACTAATTGGGGATGAAGGTAGTCCGGATAAGGAAAAATCTGGATAATTGAAATAAATACTTTAATTTGTCTTTTAATGATAATACAACATGTTTTCTTTTCGATGACATATCAGTAATATTAAAAGTAAATACTGTATTTAAACCGTGATCAAATTTTCAAGAAACAAACGTTCGTATTGAATTTGGACTATTACTGACCAACGCTAACAGACTACCTATTGTTTAAATGGCCCTCTGGTGGTGCAAGAAGATGGATTTTATAAAATAAAAAGCAATTGAAACTGCATTTTTATGAATAAAAATTTGACAAACTATTTATCGTTTTATGACGAGTAAAATTTTTTCG